GTGTTTCAGACGTGCCACCTTCGATCTCCGTTAATAAATAAATTAAAATATAAAAATGAAAATAGAATATTTAATATTTCATTGATATTGTAATAGATAATATTTATTAATGAGCCTATATGATAAATTATAGTTTAAGAGTATAAAAATAAATAACATCATTTAATAGATGTGTATTTGAAATAGAAATAATAAAAAGAAAATAGTAATATGATTAGCTTCTATTGTTCATGTTCAGGGAGAAGAGTCATCTCAAATTGAAAACAGATAATTAAATAATAAATATCCTTAAAATCAATTACTAAATAAAACTATTCAATAATTTTAAAAAAAATGAATTAATTATTAATTTGGAAGAATTATTTTCAAAGAATTATTAAAAAATTTATTAAAAAAAGAAAATCCGTCATGAGTAGGTTGAGAGATAGCAATATCATTAAGATGATAAATAGTTCCATAAGTATTATAAATTTTTGTTAATTCTAACAAATGAGATGCAACCTTTTTTCTTCTTGAAGTCTTATGAACCCATAATACTTCTATTCCAAGTGTTGCATTTGTTTTATTTTGTTCAATTAATTTAATGTCATCGTATTCATTACAATTACATTGATAAATGTTATGTGTTTTATTTAATATTCTTGTAATAACAATTCCAATAATTCTATTATTTTCTATACAACAAATATAATTAAAATTATTTGATTTTAGATAATTTAAATCCATTTCAATGTCTTCATTTATTCTTTCATTAATAATTTGTATTTCTTTATTAATTCTTGAATTCCATTGAAATTTGATATATTTATAATTTCCTTCTTGTTGAATAATGTTATATTCATTACTTTTTATTTTTAATTTTGGTGGAAGAAGAAATTCTTTATGATATTTTTCATGTGTTTTTATATCATCTTCAATAGTACTTTGATATTCAAGATGACAAATATTACATTTAATAACTCCTGGCTGTTTTTGACAGAAATCTAAAACACTTTGTCTCTTCTTCAGAATCGTTAATGATTTAATTTGTTTTGTTTTAGAAAAATTCTGAGTCGGTTTTGTGGTTTGTCTCTTTTTCATTTTATTTTTTAGATTTTTTTTTATTATCACCTTTCTTAAAAATTAAAAGTAAAAATAAAAAAGATCTTGTTGTTAAAACACAAATTCTTATCATGTCAAAACATCACCCAGATTTAGTAATGTGCAGAAAACAACCAGGAATAGCTGTTGGTAAATTGTGTGCAAAGGATGAAGGAAAATGTCCTATTTGTGATTCATATGTCCGACCATATAAGAAAGTAAGGATTTGTGATGACTGTAACTTTGGAAGTAATCAAGGAAAATGTATCATTTGTGGTGGAGAAGGAGTAACTGATGCATATTATTGTAGAAATTGTGTATTACAAGAGAAAGATCGGGATGGATGTCCAAAAATTATCAATATTGGAAGTTCACGTGCTGATTTGTTTTATGAACGTAAGAAAAAATTAAACCAAAATTAACTTGTTAAAATGAATGTTTTGATTGACAAAAAAAAAATAGATTAAGAGAATTTTTGTTATTTCTTCTTGTTTCATTCATTAAACTATCTAATAATTCAAGAACAATAAATTTTAAACATATTATTCATTTAAATTCTGAAATTTTATAATTCATATCTTCTTTTCTTTGTATTATTAAACTCTTTTTTTTTTTAAAAATAAGCAATATCCTTTTGATACCAATTCTAATTAAACTTTTAGGATAATCAAATCTTAAATAAAAGGTATGTTAATTATTTATACAAAAAGGTTAGAAATATTATAAAATATATATGTTATATTATAGAATAAACAATAAACAAAAGTAATATTGTATCTTACATTACATAATATTATTATTAAATATAAAATAATATTCTTTCTTTTTTTTCTCATACTTTAAATAATATGAACATGATTATGTTATTGTATTGGTAATACATTTATATAATTATGTCTTTATAAAATGGATAAATAAAATATTCATTAAATTATTACCATTAAAAAAATTTCAATCCATTTAAAATTATTCAAATGATGAATTTATTAATATTTATAATTCTATACAATTGATAGTTTCAAATAATTTTTATTGAGAATAATATGATAATTGTCAAATAATGATGATATTGAAATATATAGATACAATGTCTTATAAATATATTTATTAACATTTACACCAATTTAACTGCATATTGAAATAATAAAAATTACCTTTGATATAAGTAAAAAAATTTCTTTATTTCATTAATGTTATTAGAAATTAACTTACTATATATTCACAAGTCTATAAAAATTGGTATTATTTATAAAAAAATAGATAAAATATTTTGTATCTAATTTTCAATCAAATAAATTATATTAATAGAATAGTCATAAAAAAAAGAAAAACAAAAAAAAAGAAAAACACAAATTAAAAAAGAAAAGAAAAAAAAAATAAAAAAACTGAGATTGGATTATTTTAAAAGAACTTATGATTTCACCTCGTATGAAAGTTGAAGACATTTATGACCTGACGCTGAAATCAGAACAATTACTTGATGCTTTCAACAGAAAAACTCCGGCAACTCAAATTGGACTGTATGAACCAACACATGAAGAGTGGGCATCTTTAATAGCACAATTAGGAAGACCTTCTCCTGTTATTCGAACCGCAGTTATTAGACATTTAATTTGTTTGATTGATATATCAAAGAATGTACCAGAAATGTTATTAGAAGGAGTTGGAGCATTACTTATTGCCAAAGCATTAGTTGATTATTCTACTATTAAAGAAAAAGAACCTGAAAAAGTTCGTAAATATAAAACAATGTATCAAACAATGAACAGATATGCCTTTACTTTAATCTCAACTATTCTTATGACAATTCAAAAAATACCAGTAGTTTGGGCAAGAGCAATTGTTGAAGCATCAGAAGCAATTGATTCAAGAGATACATCATACACTGAACTATATGATAGATTGATTGTTCAAATTGCACTTTCATGTCCTGATGTATTTGGAGCATCAGCCACTGAAGCATTGAGAATGATCTTTTCAAAGAAAACAACTTGGAGCCAAAACTCAGTAAAAGATTTCATTTTATTTGGACTAAATTCAATTCCACATAAAAAGTATTTAGGAATCGATCAATTATTAATTTCATTAATATCTCCAATGTGTAGTCCTGAACATTGGTTATTTTCTCAAAAAAATGTATTGACCCAAAGAATAAATGCTGATAGAGAACTTAAACAAACACAATATTCTGATGCAATTGATATATTTTTTAAAGTTATTCAAACATGGCCTGGATTATTAACACTAACATCAAATAAAGGTATTGATATCTTAGTATTAGCATTAAGATCACCAGTACCAAAACAAATTAATATGATTATTTCTAATTTATATAAGTTATTTGATCTTAAACAACCAAAAATTCAACCTCAAGGTGTTGATTATCAAGAGTCAGTTTCTGATAATTCAATTCTTAAAAACTCACCATTAGTATTATCATATTACACTCATTTATTAATTGCCTTGATTGATTCTAATTTTTTTGATGCACTTTGTGATGTTTGTGTTGGAAGACAAATGCATGATGACTTTTCAAGAGCTGAGATACTATCTCAAGAATCTAAAAAAGTAGATAAAATGAAAACCAAACCAAGTCATCGTCAAACAATCTCAGAACATTCTCAAATTGGACTTGAAGTGACTATGATTGGACTAGAAAATAATTCTCCTAATGAAAAAGATTCTAGTTCAATTGAAGAAGTTAGTTGTATTACTGTAATTGCAAAATCTGTTATTTTACTTGGAGAATTATTATATTTAGCTGGATTATTATTACCACAACGACATTTATCATTACAAAAGTTATTTGCTACAGCATGTAATTTTTCATCAAATCTTCAAACAAGTTCAACATCATTATTAGTAAATTTACATTCTCATATTCAATTTAAAATTGATGCAATTATTAAAGAAAAAAAAGATAATGAAAGATATACAATTAATGAATATATGAGTAATGATGTTACAAGTGATATTAATCAAACTCTAAAAGGTTTAAATATGATGGATGAAACTGAAATTAAAAGAAGTGTTCAAGCATCAAACATTTCATCAAATGATTATTTAACATGGAATTGGGATGAAATTTTTAAATTATTAACGTCATTATCTCAAAATATGAGATATGTTCCAATTGTTGAAAAAACGCCTTTCTTTAAGACATTAGTTAAATTTTATCAACCATCAAAAAAGAGATTTAGTGAAATTGATTGTCAACCAAAAGAAAAATACACTCCATGTGGAACAATGTTATTCCAAATTTTAATTCAAAGTGAAAGTGGTCAAGGATTATTACAAATTATCTTAAAAGAAATTGCTGCAGAACTTAAATATTTTATTCAAATGGCAAAGAAAGAAGAAGAAAGAAAACGAGATGAAGAGAATAAAAAAAAAGAAGATGATAAAAAGAAAGAAGATGATAAAAAAACTGAAGAAGAAAGAAAAAAAGAAGAAATTAAAAAGAAAGAAGAAGAATTTAGGAAATTCTTTGAAAATTTAAATGAAAAAGGACATTTCTTTGATCAAACACATTTAATGAAAAAACTTTCAAAAGAATATTTTGGATTTATTGGAAGTATTTGTGATATGAAAGAAGCACATATTGCTTTAAGTGATATATTTGATTTATATACTCAAGTTCTTGGGATTAGAAGATTAGACCCATTATCAGACCTTATTTCTTCATCATTTAGAATATCAACAAATGATAAAAATACAAAAGTAATGGAAGCAATGCTTAATAGTGAAAATATTACACTTGCTAATCGTGCTATTAAAGAAATAAGAAGATTATTAATTAGTTCAGGAGATATTACTTCAGAACAAATGATGTGGAAAGGTTGGACTATTCCAAAATTAGTTGAAAATTTAGTTAAAAAGAATCAAGTAAAACAAAATATAAAAGAAATTATTATTATTTTAAGAAATGCTATTAAAAAAGAACATATAAAAAAAGTATTTGTTGAATTTATTAATGATAAAAAAATGTATAATGAAGAAAATAAAGAAATTAATATACAACAACCTTCAGAAATTAGAAATATATTTCAAATATTAATTGATAATGAAGGTGAAGATATTATTTATGAATTACTTAAAAATGATATTTCAATTCAAAAATGTATTGAAAGTACAACATTTGTTATTGACGAATATAATAAATGGATGAAAGGTGGATATATTGCTTATATTCAAAATTATGATGAAAAAAAACGATTACCTCATTTCTTCCAAATATTATCTCTTACACCTATTGGAAGAGGAATATTAAAAGATAATAATACAACTGAAAAACTTTATATTGAATTTACAACTTCAAAATTATTAATTAATAAAAGTGGTGCTGCAATTGCATTATCTTATATTGCTGCTAATGATAATAATGATGAATATAAATTAGTTGATGAAGATATTATTAAATGTATTATAAAATCAATTTATGATGAATCATTATATATTAGAGGAATATCAACTTGGGCAATTTCAATTTTATGTTCAAATAAAAAATATGAAAAAATGTTAAATGAAGAAGGATGGAATAAGTCATATAATGGAATTATGATTCCAGGAGATGGGTTAACTGATCAATTTTATAACCAACATTATGAAAAAGTTCTCTTAAAAAATATTCCATTTTCAACTAATTTCTTAAATAATGAACAAATAGAACTTGTTAAATATGTTAGAAAAATGAGACACGCAAATATGTGGAGAAGCTCAATGAAAGAACTTAATAAAAAAAGAGCTGAAAAACAAGAATTATTTAAAAATGATATTTCTTTTAATATGGATGTTTGTAAATTATTAGACAATGTTAAAACAAGTGTTATTCAACGCAGTTTTGTCTACGAAATATTTCTTGGTTCATTACCATTACCATCTCTTAAAAATCAAGCACTTTCTTGTTCTGACAAAATTATTGGTATTGTAAAGTCAGAAGCCCCAATAAAAGATAGTAGTTGTTCTACTCCAAAAAGAAATAAAAGAGCTACAAAATCCCAAATTTGTTCTGCTGTTGATCCTACTTTTTCTTAATACATTAATTATTGTTATTCATAACATAATTATTATTATTTTTTTTTATTTTTTAAAAAAGGAATAATTAGTTCTTTATGGTTTGATTATTTGAGTTGCATTAATTTATTATTAATAGTATTAGAAACATTTAGAGCCTTGTTATTTAATGATTGTTTTACAATATTTAGACTCACTTGAAAGTCTTTATAAATTTAATTGTATTTGTAAACATTGTGATGAAGCAGTTAAAGCAACAAAAATTAATCCAAATTATTCAAATGATTCTCTTGATACTTTATTACAAAACAGTGAAGTATCTCATATCCAAAAAGAAATTAAAGTTTTTCCAAACTTAGAAACATTACAATTATCAAATGATTGTTTAGAACAATTATATAAAACACATAAATCATATTGTTTGTTGTGTTATATTTTATTGTAAAATAATAATATCAATAAAATTCTCATAATTTATAGTAGAAGAATCAATCAAATTAATTAAAATAACTGATTATATTCTTAAAGAAAAAGAAAATCGACTTATTAGTTTAAAATTATTACAAGAAAAAATAGTTGAAATGAAATTAGACTGTGATTATCTTTTGAATGGAATTAACTTATTTAATTGTCATAAATTACATAAATTAACATTAAGAATTGGTAATGTCTTTCAAATACATTATTTAAAAAAATATATCGAAGAAATAAAAACAATTCCTTTTCTTCAACTAACTTGTATTTTTCATTCTAAACATCATCAAATTGTTTCTAATATTTTAAATGATTTCCCAAAAACTAAATTAATTTGTTGTTGGGTTGAAAAAAGTACTTGTAATAATCTTATTGACTTGGTTCATCACTCACAAAATCATTTCATTGGAGTTTCTTATTTAGGCATTGATTCATACTCTGACTTTAATAATTTCCCTTTTATTTTATTACCTCATAGAAATGGTCAATTAGAATTTGCTAATGAAATGGTTATTGAACCTTATTTCTCTGAATTATTAAAGAACTATTATCCAGGAAATTTAGAAATTGTTGGTAAGAAATTAACTCCTCTCATTTCACAAAATAATTTTCTTGTTGACTTATCTTATTTAAATGACATAACTAAATTATCACTTCTTGACAGTAAAACAAAAAATATTAAATATATCCTTCCTTCTTCTTTAAAGGAACTTAAAATCCTTAACTTCGCTTCTTTTGATGATATTTTAAATATTAATGAAATTAAATTAAAACTTAACAAATTCTCTAACAAACAAATAATATAATTTTGTTGTTTCTCTTCTTCTTTCATTTTTTCTTTTTTAAATATACATTTAAATCCTTTATAATGTAGAATTTGTTTTAATCTACCTGAAATAATTTAAAGTCTTTTTTTATTATCTCAAAAATATCTATTTAATTCTTATATTTTAATAGTAATCAAAAATGATTAACAAATATAAGTCTAGTTATTTAAAATTTAATATATTGTTATATGACATTACAAAAATATACTTTATTTGAGCAACAAAAGTTTATAATATTATTCATTAATATTCTTGTATTATTTTAAAGTCATGTTGTATTAATTAAAAACAAAAAAATATTTTTGTTATATAAAACGATAATGAAAAATATTTTTTTGTTTTTATTAAATTACAAATTTTAAAAACATAATTAAAAAAAAATATAAAACTATAAAATAATATGCAAGTTTTTTTGTTATGTGCTTTAATATTTACAGCTTTTGCTGGATATGGAGTTGATATTGCAGAACCTATTAGTGTTAGTTCAATTAATTGTTTGAGAAATATTGGATTTAATTCTTTTTTCATTTTTAGATGTTGGAGAAGTCTTGGTTCATGGGATCCAAATGCTAAAGGAATTAATAACAACGCTCTTTCTGCAGGTTTTGATGCACACAATATTGATGCATACTTTTATCCATGCATTTCATGTGGTGATCCCGCTGGACAAGTAAATTCATTTTGGAATCAAGTGGTAGCTAATGACATGAAGTTTGAGAGGGTTTGGTTTGATGTTGAAGGATATTGGAATGATGAAGAGTCAAATAAAGAATTCTTTGAAACAATGATCAACCAACAAAGAGCAATTGGATTTAAGGCTGGTA